ATACGACGTTATACTTACTTGTACCTGTAATATATACATACCTAATACCTATAGATACAGATGACTCAATAATCATAGTACCTAATAATTTAATATTTACTGTGCGTCCAGTGGTAGTATTTATTTATTATAATATATCTCCTCTAAAGATCAAAGATACAACTGGTAAATATTTAAATATATATATATAATATTTAATATTTAATATGCTATATCTAATATAATAAAGCTCCAGTATATATATTACATAATACTATCGTACACTATAATTTATATGAGGACAAATGCAAATACACGTCTGCTTACGAGAATTCGAGCGTAAACTATATTACTTATACTATTACTGTATAAAGTTATTTTATTATTTACCTACCTAATCTAGAAGAAAGCAGACGTTCTGTTTAATATCGCTTATATTATATAAATTTGCTCTTTTCGTGTACCTGCAAAGCTTGTGTCATTAATATTTATTTGCAGATTTCCATAAGCGCCAGCGCTCGCATTTTTATTTTTTAATTCAAAGATACAAAGAATTGTAAGACGACATCATATTTTTTTACGATTCCATTTAAATCATAGTAATGATAATATAATCAAATTTATAGGCATATGCTGTACCTCCACGAATTACTGTACATGTTTTTTTCTTAACTCATAGGCATTATTGTACGTATTATTGTCATCGACTAGCACTAGGTACGCGTGACGTTATTTTATATGCATTTTCGACGTCAGATCATCACATCGTTTTCTTCGCACTATTAATACACGAAGGTAATCCTCGACGCCATGAAAAACTTAGACTACCTACTTACCTACTTAAAGATCATCGAGTGGAATAATAATATGGATAAGAATAATAAACACGGAAACGAGCGTTGAATTTTAAACTGCGGATTATGTACAAGGTGGTTCTTATATCGTCGAACGATGGGTTTCTCGTTAAAATTGTTTATCATAAAAAAAATGTTATCATAAAAAAAATGTTATCATATAAATATGTAATTAGAAGTCGCACTAAACCCAATGTTTGTGTATGTTTAATTTTTAATCTTTCCTTCTTAAATGGCAATTTGTATTTTAATGAGAAACTTCTTAATGGAGGCTGTAGGCTAAAATGTGTGTAACGCTGGGAGCCTCACAATATTTCCGAATTTTACTTATCCATGAAAACGATTTCATGGAAGAAATACCTTTATATTGGTATAAGTCAAGTATTAGTGAAACAATTATAAGTTAGTTTATTTTCATTGTCATGTTACAGGCGCCATATTCGGTCAAGATAAAATATTGTGTTGCTGTGTTTGTTAATCGTTGTATTAAACTATTAAAGGTATTCCAGTTGTGAATTATTATGAACACAATTATGATCTTATTTTTATTTATTTGGAGTTAAAATTGTTCACACAACATGTCTGATAATTTGTCTTATCTTTGTGTAATAGTAATAGATAATAAGTTAATTGCAATTTACAGTGAAAAATGTTATTTTAATGCAAATCTAATATTATTATTCTATCGGCTGAATAACTGAAGTTTTACCACATCCGCGCGTACTCACAACACGAACAATTTTTATTTCTCACTAACGCAAAATATTTGTCCGAGACTTTAATGAATAGCTGATGTAAAATAAGGGTACCTCAAACACTTAACATAAAGTAGGTATAATTATGACAAATCATTCATGAGGCACGTGACATTTTGTTTAGGTAAATTGTATATAGTCATTCTTTCAATAAAAACCTTAAAAAAACAATGGGTAAAGTTTAATAATAATACAGATAATTGTTTTAATACATTTTACTGACTTTAAATCATGTAAAAAAACTACTGTACAGCGATGAATAAAAAAATCACACCAGCTGGTGTAAGTACACGTTTTTTAGTATTTTTTACAAAGCAATACTTTTCAATCAAAGGTATTTTTAAACTATATTTTTTCAATTTTTTAGGTACCCATTCTCTATCCAACCCACGATATTATCTTATACTGTACCGACAATATCATCTTATATTGTACCAACATTATAATATTATACGAGGAATATCGAGCCGACGGTACGTAATGGCTGAATGTCGCCTATATATAGCTGCAATATTCGAATCGGATAGATTTTTTTTATATCTTGTACATATTTTATGGGATTTTTCCATTTCTTGTGGTTTATATATATAATTCATAGATAAGCGAATTTCCGTTAACACATTTTTCCCACCCCTTTAAGCTATCGACAACATCATCTCCTTGTATAATATTATATGTATAGTTATTATCTTCTACTCTGCCTATGAGATATATATAATATGAAATAAATATATACATATATATATATATATTTATGCGAACTAGGGCTATAGGATTTAAATGCATTTATTTTAAAGTTCATTTTACCATATTTGATAAAATGTGTTAAATGTTATTGAATGCACTTCAAAATATTCTGAATCAAATAAGCTTAATATTATATTATATTCTTTTAACACATCGGTACACTAGTAGTTTGATATTTTTCATATTTTTATACTCATATTATACAACTTTAAACTCAACGATGGTTTTTTATGTGAATACAAAATGTACCTTTACGTACCCAGTTATTTAATTTTGAGGGATTATTCTCATTATATTATTGCTATGTATTTGAAAACGTAGATCATAAGGTATTATATGACATAAGCTGGAATATACTATTATTGTTTAGAATGTCACGTTGAATTCTTCAACATACTTTGTTAGTAACATACATACAAGTCCAAGCTTGCAGTAAATCATCACTGTAGAATAAATAAATAAAAAAATGAATAGCAAAAATAAAATCATTATGTCGCTGTGAATTAATGGATTAGACGGTTTGATGTAAATATAGTGTACCGTACAGAATTCGTACTTCATCGTATTTGCGGCTCGTACCTTTGTAATATTGCCACTTATATCAATTTTTCGTTATAATTGTATACTTATAATTATTATAAATTGTAAGATATAAATGATGGTCCGAACCAACTCGCATTATAAAGACGACTCGAAGTCTCAAATGCGAGCATTATTCACATTCATATTATTATTGTTTAACGTTCGTGGATGCTTTTCGAAATTAGGGTATTGTCTGCCTTACGTGAACGAGAAAACATTGTTCTTTTCCAAGACTTTAAAGATAACTTTTTGATTCCTTACCTCCGGTGTCGTACAAGCGCTCGCAACATAAATGATAATATATATATATATACATAGTAAGTATTACATATTATAACCACTCGGTAATGGTTATAGCTGTAACCTGTAGGTATATATCACGCGTGACCACTGAAAATTATTGTCCCTGTACACTAGTGTGTGTGTCGTAGAAACTATTTCCGTTCGACAAACAAATGATCAATTACGGATGACTTTTCTGTTTAGTTTTTCCTCGTTCCCTCTATCTATCCTATTATATTCTTTTCACCGCCTTTAACAACCGTATGTTGACCACGATATATATATTATACATAGTATTGTGTGTTTAAAACCTATTGCGGCCATTTCACACGCGCACTGTAAACTCACGTCCTCAGTTTTGCCAAGGCACTAGGTGCTTATATATATATATATTATAGGTATTTGCTAAATCAACAGAATATAGTATACGCACACGCGAATGAAATCGCATCTGAGACGACGACGATCGAAAGTACATAATAATAATAATAATAATAATAACAACAACAACATAAAAATGGACGGGTATAATTGTGTGGAGCGTTCCGACTTTAACGTCGAAGACGTTTCGGCAATAACAACTTCAGACCGAGTGATATTTATTATATTTTATACGGAGTAATATTCGACATTCCCCCGTTTTGATCTTATATCGAGTTCTAAAATGTTTATGGATCGCATAAAACGGTAGTTAAAACGGCAATAAAATAATCTCCGAACGACCGTTTAAAAAGTCGGCGTTCTCTGCAGGATATTGCGCGCTTATTAGTTAACAATATACAGGATGCCTCAGCATTCAGCAAGCTAACTCAGTAAACATATTATCTTTTAAATAATACATTTATTTAAATTCTGATTTTTGGAGTTTTTAGTATACATCTTACATTTTTGAACCAAAATTATTTTGTAATAATTTTTTCATAATTTATAGAGGATCTCCAAACTTGTGGTATTTTAGTAGAATAAATTCCTTTTTTTTTTTAACATGAGAAAAGTTTTATTTTTTATTTTTAACTCCCCAAGACCTATAGTTATATAAAATATTTGTTGATTGTGCTACGAGAGTGTATCGATACCATTCCATTTGTTGATGTAGTGGAGATACAGCGACCAACGTGGTGAAGTAAAACTCATGGTTTTCTAAATAAAGAATGACAAATTATTTGTGGTTGTGGATTTTATGTAGTCGTATTGTTTATAAAAACTATACACATATTAGGTATCTTTGTACGTAAAGATTTATTTCTCTTACAAACCATAGTGAATCGTTCGTCATTTTTAATTCTTTGTTTATTAGAGATTTTTATGTATTTTAATATCATTGCTTATGTTTCTATGTTCCATACATTATCACAATAAAAAGTCTTAATGTGATAGTCCCACCACACTTCTTTTTAAATAAGCTGTAGTCTAATAGTGTTATAAGGAAACAGTAATTTTGTCAAATTGACTGGAACACGTTGATAAGACGGATTGGTTACAGTGATTCGAGAACTCGAGAAGAGACAGGAAACTCGTTACTCCGATATCTCAGCAACTCAAAAATCTCAGAGACTAAACAACTCTCGAATCGAATCTTGTATTTTAATAACTCATTTTACTGAAATCGCTATAAGGGTGATTTGGGTGATATCGGATGTGTTTAATCACGTGGTATTTAGGATATCGAAGAGCCGTTAACGACTCTTACATTGACTATGAGGCTACTTTCGTAGTTATTAATACTTAGATTTCTGACTTTGCTTATAATTTATTGCACGATAATCAATATTGATCTCGATACCTTCCTTTTTATTCGCAGAACTCCGGAGGAATGTACAGGACGCTGGCGATCCTGTCAGGCGCGGCGGCCGGTCTGCTATTCGCCAGGATGTCGCTGATGGGTGACAGTGGACCACCGGTATTCGCGGCCGCCGATAATCCGACAGCCAAGTCACCCAGCCTAGTGACGAGGACTCTGACGTTCCTCTACCTGCCAGCTGAGAACTTCCGGTTGCTCGTCTACCCTCGAAGGTTGAGCTTTGACTGGTCCATGGACGCTATCGCACCCGTCACGTCCGTCTACGACCCCAGGAACGCGCTGTCTGTCGCCCTGTACGTGGCTATATTCGCCGCGGCAAAGCGGTCCGCCGCAGCTGCATCGAGGGCCAGGCTGCACCATAACCGGCCGCACAGATGCTGTTCAAAGACCAAGTACGATCGCCCAGAAGATCGTCCCGATGACCCTGTAAGTACCGACTAGATTTATATTTCGATTCCATTAAAAAACATTACAATTGTTACTTGTGAATATTAATGTAGCCAAAGCTTAACCAAGAGGAGGCGACATGTAGGCAATTTCCACCCCCAACCATAACTATTACTAACAAATATATTAATAAACAATCTTAAATACCCCCCCCCCCCATCCTGATGAAACTTCTAGTTATTTTCTTGAATGTAGATTATATATGTATATACCATCGGCAATACGTTGTTAGTAATGACTAACATTATAATAGGTCTGTGAGACAAAACTTACTTCTAATATTATTTGTTTTAAATATAGAACATGTAACTTAACAATTAAAATTTGATAACGGTTCATTTTTGAAAAAAGGTTATTAGCCTTTATTAAAATTAATATAACAAGTTTTGTGATCACTGATAAAAGATTCACTTGGTATAACATTATCGATAATGTAACTGTGCCTATTGTTAATTCGGTTTTTTTTTTAAATTAATAAGTAGGGAAATGGTTCCAAGCGAAACTCGAGATGTCTATCTTTTATTTTTTATCAATATTTTTCAAATGAATGAACAAACGATTCGTATTTTGTTTTTCAATTTATTGAAAATCGGCCCATCCACGTAACTGTGCTTAAATTCTATTTTAAAATAAATATTTATTATTATCGCTTTGTTTTTTGGTCGAATTTTAATCTGATTTGAACACAAATATTTTTAAAACAGTATTTTTAGACACTTTCAAATTTTTACAAATACATTTTTTTACCTTATTAATGAATGAACCGATTTTCATGTTTTTCACTTATACAACAATTTAAACCGTAACATTTGGTGTAACAATAAATTAAAACTTAACTGATATTTTTTATCCGAACGTTAAGTACATTTTTCAAGTCGAATCAAAGCCTGAATTCTTATTTTAAGAATTGCTAGAAAAGTACTTTGAAAAATAATCAATATTATATATTATTTAAATGCATATTTTAAATTCTACAATTATAATTTTGAAAATCGGGGTTTGATCCGACCTGAAAAATGTTCTCTTCTTTTAATTAAAAACAAATTAACGAAATCTATAAGTACACAGGGCGTAAGAGATTTTCCAGTAAGCTATGTTTTTGTTATGAAAACGGACCGTCTCAAACACCCTTAAAAAATATTTAAGTACTCAAATACTTTTACTCAAGTGCTTTTCAAGACTGTTGACAATATATTATTATTATTATTATTATTATAATATTTGAAGGCAAGGGCTGTGGGACTCGCCGTCGCCATGACCGCCATACCGTTCGTGCCGGTGTCCAACATGTTCTTCTACGTGGGCTTCGTGCTGGCTGAGAGGGTGTTGTACATGCCCAGCGTGGGCTACTGCTTTCTGTTCGGTTACGGTTATGCGGCATTGGAACGCCGTTTGGGGTCCAAGTGGCCAAAGATGGGGTTGATGGTGGTGCTCACGGTGTACGGTGCAAGAACGGTCATAAGAAATAACGATTGGCAGGACGACGAGTCGCTGTACCGATCGGGTGTGCACGTCAACCCACCAAAAGGTCAGTGAATTTCTTTTAAAAATACTAAACATTACTATTATTATTACTTAAGTATTCATTGACCACCGAACAGTTTAGTTAATACCGAATAAATTGAGTTCTTGACGCGTTTTCCCGTATCTACGTATTTAAAACACATTCCGAAGTTTTACATCGTGTGTATAGTGTGTATTAAATAAGGTCTGTATTAAATCTCTGACGACGTCTGTAATAAAACCCCTAAAACTCAACATTGTGTTGTATCCAACGAAAAATAATATCATTATTACTGTTTTGTTATATTTTATATTTGCTATTATCTTATAATTTTTTTCTTTAGACCTACGGGTACAATGTTATGCGACTATGAGGCGAGTGAAATAGTACATTAAAAAATCAGCAAGGTTAAACTATTCTTATTTGTAATTTTGATTATTTTAATTAACTGATATTAGTACAACAATTCCCGACGCCGTTTGCATTCTAGGCGTCTTGGATGTTTTCTAAAGGATTAAAATTATTTTATAAGCATTGCATCAAAATGTTACAGAGTGATAGTCACTACGAACATACGACTTCTTAAAGAAATGATTCGGTATTTTCAGAATAGTTTTTAATTCAAATTACTGTAAAGAAGTTGTGATTCGATATGTATGGCTGGAACTTCGTTATTTTCTTTGGCTAATAATTTACTAAACCTAAGATTTTCTTTTTTAGTTGTACGGGTTCTTAGTTATTAATGCTAGTCTACCATGGGTTGACTGGTATAATTTCATCAGTTAATTTTTGAGATTAAAAAAAATATATATATCTTAATAATATTTTTATTCAGTTTGAAATATTTATAAATTATAACACATAACATTTTTAGAAAATAATTTGAAATACAAATATTTTTCTCTATAATGATGTTTTTGATTTTATTATATACTATAGTAGTGTATAATTTGATTTATTGAATCTCAAGACAAATATTTTTTCAAAATTTGTTCTGTACAAACATTTGTATATATTTATATGCCTAGTATTCAAAGTGGAGTATATCTTAACCATCAATTCGCGGTGCACCATCGCCATTAATTTACTGAAACCATGCATACATATATTTAATATATATAAACAACTTAAGTTAGTTACATATTCGATATCTCTATCAGTACATACTTTACTTCTAGACATAAAATATATATATTAACTCATTTTACAAAAACACAAAATTTGATTGAAAGAAAAACTGAGTGTGTGAGGTTAAACGTACACCCTGTACACACTAGGCAGGAAGTTCGTGTACTAAAAACCATCAGGCTGTGGCGTCATGCCTATAAAAATGAAAAATATGCAACAAAATTGTTTTTAAATTTAAATTAACCTTCGTTTAATCCTATTATTACACGGTCGTAACTAGTATTGTTTGAAAACAAATCGTCTGAAATACATTTTACTGCGTTAAAAAACACAATGCATTGTTATATATTATTATTATATGCAGTATTTACATGGAATCGTTTTTTTTTTCAATTGGAAATCGTTCCGTCTCAGAAAAAATTATTAATGCAAAAAGATTATTGTTCAACCGGAGGCTCGATAAAAATAAACTTAAAAATTACGAAATTACGACGAACTCACCCCATATAGACAATATTCATATACCTAACTCTTTTAACGATCAATATTATAGAGGTTAAATAGTCTTAAAGACTACAACAGATGTATAAAATATTATTTGGAATCGTATAATACATATATAAGTACTTAAAATAATGTTAAAACTTAATTTACGAAACACGTCGTGATATGCATGTACAATTATTCCAGAATAATAATTATGTTATATATTATCATCTAAAAGTCTTAATATACGTTCAATATATTTAAGTATTCAGTATCAAATAAATAATTAAACCAAACAAATAAATATGTAGTCATTTCGTGACGTGATGGTCCTTCCACTTTCATAGAAATTATCTTTCCTCGTGGGCCGGGGGTCTTGCGCATTGCATATTGTAAATACGTAGTCCAATCGTCGTAACAGGAGTTGGGTTGGGGTCCTCCGAAAAGTTGTTCGAGCAATAGCGAGTAATATAATACATCAAATCATACGTACACACACACACACACACAAACACACACACACACAAATATATAGATATACTGTTGATATCGCGTCCGGCATCGATTTATACATTTTATTATTACGGGTCGGGTAACTCGATTCGCCCGCGGGTCTATATTATTATTATTATGTTATCCATAATATATACATATCCATATATATATAGCTGCTGGTCGTTTGGAAATCCGACGCCGTGGAATTTTCCAAAGAGAATAGAATAGAATATTATTATTATTATTATTATACTTACGCGTTATTTTATACAACGCGCGCTATTTCGAGGGTCGAAAAAAGGTCGTTCTAGATTTGAGTAATCGTTTTCGTGCGGAACGATATTACTTTTAAATATACAAGTCTGCGAAATACCGCCATATAAATATATGTAATATCATGTACCTTTGTATAGGTACACACGTAATACGTATTATATAATATTATGCATATGCACACTAACTAGCTGCAGCTGAGTAATACCGCTCGCGGTATCCGCTGCAGCGGTCCAACTATAACCTCCGTCCACATTTTATATACACTATACAGGGTGCGTGGTTCATACTGTGTGGTGTCTCGTTTTACTCCGTGAAGTCAAGGAGGGAATCGTGAGAGCGAAAATACTATATCTAAGGTCTCTGTACAACTGCGGGGTGACGAAATTATATTATATACAACAGTGGACTCGTAACAGGTCTCACAGCAGGGTCCGCGCACATCGTCATAGCTCACAAAATACTATGACAGCAAGATGTAGAGTTTGATACTCGTATAATTACACAGCAGTTAAGCCAGTCTAATAAAATATTTTGCTCAAACACTAGTAAGTATGCTGATCTTTTTATCAATAATCGGTCATCTTGCTGTGTGCGAAGTGGTTCATTTAACTCAAAACACTAAATATTATATTAAAAAACACTAACGTTTTTCAAAATATTTTTTTCACATAATATTTTAAGGCATTATATAACCGCGTTTATAGAAAAAAATCTTTTTACTATTTTTTTAAGTTTTTTACTCGTTTGACACCTTATATTTTAAATTTCATGTTCCGAATCAGAATATTATTTGGAGTATTTCGATCTATAAAAATCAAATTTTGGACATGTAGTTTATTAGTTTATTATTTTATAGTTTATTAAAGTTTAGATGAGCGGACCAACAAATTGCGGGATACCACATTAGCGGCAGTGTACCACTAATCCACTTCACTCCACTCGTTTGAACTTTAAATACTTATAACTCAAATACTACTCATTCAAAATTCGATTTTTATACAACAAAGTATTCTTAAGAATATTCTATTTCGGTATAAATAATTAAAATGCATGTTGTTAGTAAAAATATTATTTAGAATAATAATAATAATAAAAATATATATTTAGGACAATGTTGTTTTTTGAATAATTTATTGACGTACTGCACAAACGGCACGATGAAACATATTACGCAATATAATATATGTATCTGTGTAGATTTTTTTTTACGCCACACTTATATTATATTATATTATGATATATAGGAATAATAATGTGACTGTACATACTACGCACAAATTATATTTCAACCTCAACAGTATGACAGAAAAAAAAATTATAATAATAACAATAAAAACCGATGAAAGACAAACAACACTCCGAAACGATAACATTCTCCAAACGGGTGTGCCTGGGCCGCTACGATAAACTTTAATACGCATTTTAAACGATATGCCCCCACGCGTTGCGTCTATTAAAATATAATCGCTCAGTTTATGTATTATAATATTATAATAAAGCGAGTTTCGATTAGACTTTTTTACTCCATAACGCAGTGGGGAAATAAGTGGAAAAAAGTATAATCTCGCTCTGCACCGTCGGAATGCGCGTTTATTTTCGTAGAAAAAAAATATATAAATAAAAATATCGCGTATAAAATGTATACGATTTTTCCTCTCCGTATATTTTATACGCGTACATAAAGAAAAGGGTGATAAGGTCGTGTTCTCGACATCTGGAAACGACATTTTTACAATGTACGAGCGGTGTTCGTAACCTAAAAATTAGTTCTCTCCGCTGCAGAGCTTTTCTCCACAATATTTTCTATGTGCACACATGGAAAACAATTACAACTCGAGGACATAGTATAATAAAACGCAAAAGAAAGATGTTTGGTGGTCGGTGACAGTGTGGGGAGTAGTGGAAAAATACAAAATCACGTGATTAACTAAAACAAATCTGGATGATATAATAGTTATGCGACTTTTATATTACATTATATTATAGTTATAAGAGCTGAGTTGAGGAAAATATTTTATTATTATTATAATTTTTTTAAATGTTGACCTAAGGCGCATGGACTTTTTGGCCGAACAATCGGAATTTATCGTTTATCTGACGCGTATATTATAAAAGCTCAATGTTATATAAATATATAGGTGTTGCGATAAATAGAGAACCACTCTACCAAAGTTTCGAATGTCTGTACAACCAAAACGCTTATAATAATACAGCAACCGCGATTCCGAATAGACTATAAGGGTCATTTATTATATACTGCTATTTCGTCGTCGTTGTAGTCATTCGTTGGGGTCGTCGCTGCGATCAAATTGGTCTTACGAGGTTTCAAGGTGGGAACAATCGTATTGGGTACTTAGGTATTATATTTGTTAATTATTTCATTATAATAGGTCGGATTACGTATATTTGTGGCCACACTCCACGGGATCTATCGAGTCCGCAAGTACCTATATAACTAGTAACTTAATTCTACTTCTGGATCATTTCCAATAAAAAAAAATCACAACATTATTGTATACCTAAAATATATTATTGGTGTACTTATTATTGGTATATACCAAACTATTTTTCACCTTCATTTTTTCCAGTTTAAGGCTGTTGAATATCTAAGAAACGCGTGGAGGGGAGGCGTGAGTAGA